GGGTAGGGATGCTGTTCGCCGTGGAATTTTCTGCAATCAGTTTAGTGATGATTACCACACGTTTGGAAGATCCTACGATTTTGTCGGTCATTGGGAGTAGTGGAGACTCTGTGTGTTCTACAGATCACTATTCGAGCTGGGGAGTCGTCAAGTGATGAGGTGACCATCGCCATTATGGATGACGATATAGTGGAAGAGGATGAGAACTTCTGGTGAGCTTATTAGCCGGTTGGAAGCACCCCCTTGTCATTCTAACTGGTGCTGTTCATCTGTAGGGTTCGCGTGACACATGTTTCGGAGGGTGCGGTGATTGGGAAGCTGTCCGTAGCCGAAGTGACGATCATCGATGATGATGAGATTGGGGAGTTAGTCTTGGAGAAAGAGGAGTTAGTAGTGGAAGGGGATGTGAGTCCTTCTCCTTGGCCTGTTGTCGACCCCAGTGAGGCCCGTCTATGGCAGGAAGCTCAAGTCACAGTCCTTCGAACCAAAGGATGCAGCGGTGAAGTGAGGGTACTGTATAGGACAGAGTCTGGTAACGCGGTGGCTCCTAATGATTATATCCACACTGAGGGAGAGCTAATAATGGACCATAATCAGGCTGCTGGAGTTATAAAGATTCCTCTTTGCTCCACGTAAATGCCGGGCAGGCCGTCATGATGATATTCAATTTGTGGAATTATCAGGTCTACTCGAACGCCCCATTTCCGGCTCATATTATCAAAACCTTCTGGAGGTGATTTCCTGTTGTGCTCTGCTGTGTCTCATGTGAAGGTGTTTTAGGTGCGAAGTTCTGTTCAAAAACGGATGGCGGTCATGATTCGCTCATATGCACTATTTGGATCAAACCCAAGTTGGGCATAAGTCAGGGCCGTGCGACGGTTACAGACCTCCTCAATGTTCACTGGGGTGATACTACTAGCGCGACTTTTTGCGACGAGATGTCGTCCTGATAGGCAAGATGAGTCTTGGAGCGACAAACTGGCGAGAACAGTTCAATGAAGCTCTGTGGGTGAACGGTAGCAGGGAAGAACAGTCTGAGGTGAGATTTGGTGGACACTGGGGTTGACGATTTGGTACTGCAGGCTGGCGTCGGCGATTGGGTTATGCACGTTATTACCTTCCCTTGGAAGATAGTCTTCGCCTTTTGCCCTCCACTTGAGTACGCGGACGGTTGGCTGACGTTCTTCATCAGTCTATCCATGATTGGTGGGAGATGCTCTAGAGATAGTCGAATCTGGAGGTGCGCCGTTCAGGTGGTGTAACGGCGATCATAGCAGATATGGCGTCTCTCCTGGGATGTACGATGGATATTCCTGATTCTGTTACCGCCATAACATTGGTTGCTCTAGGTAAACAAGCCTAGCTGAGCATCTTAGTTTAAATCTTCATTCAGGTACTTCTCTTCCTGATACATTCGCATCAAGGTTAGCAGCTATGCAGGATCCTTATGCAGATGCTTCTATTGGGAATGTCACGGGAAGGTGAGTCATGCTAGTCGTTGAGAGTGGTCTTAACTTTAGTTTTCAGCAACTCTGTCAACGTGTTCCTTGGTCTCGGTTTACCCTGGGTGATTGGGTCCCTGTATTGGAGTGCTAAAGGGGCTACACAGGAGTGGATAGCGAGAGTTGGTAAGTAGTTGGCGAAGCCTGTATTGACAATAGTTGGCTTCGTGAGTTTCTTTGTTTGTGGGAGTTTGATGGAATAGCAGTAGCAGCGGGTGTGCTCAAGTTCGACTTGCGGGTTGGAGGGGACTCGTATAAAAATTAATCATATTGCGGCTATATCAAATCTCCAGTGGACATATAGCATGAGAGTCTTTGCTCGATTTGCGTACTGTTCAGTATTCTTTTCCGTATCTGTTCAGTTCTCACAGCCAATTTCCCACCTTTTGTAGGTTTGGAAATTTACACCAAGTATCCAGATGGTGGTTTCGTGGTGGAGGCTGGTGATCTCAGCTTCTCTGTCATGATATTCACCATTTGCGC